GGCTTCGCCTCGCACGCCGCGATGCTGTCCCGGGGCGAGGAGCACCTGGCCCGGGGGCTGGCAGCGCCCAGCTCGGCCATGATGCCGCCGCTCAACGGGATGCACCCGCACGGCCACCACCACGCTCAGCCCGGCGGCTCCCTCCTGGGCGAGCGGGAGCGCCAGGCCTCGGCCTCAGGCTCGCAGCCCGGCGGCTCCGGCCAGGTGGAGGAGATCAACACCAAGGAGGTGGCTCAGCGCATTACGGCCGAGCTGAAGCGCTACAGCATCCCGCAGGCGATATTTGCGCAGAGGATCTTGTGCCGCTCGCAAGGGACCCTCTCGGACCTGCTGCGGAACCCCAAGCCCTGGAGTAAGCTCAAGTCGGGCCGGGAGACTTTCCGGAGGATGTGGAAATGGTTGCAGGAGCCCGAGTTCCAGAGGATGTCGGCGCTCCGGCTCGCAGGTAGGGCACGGCGGGGGTGCGAGGGGACCTGGGAGACCGGTCCCGGCACCTTCGGCGGGGGTCGGGGTTTACGGGGTGGAGGGACGGGGACACTTGGGCTGCCACACGCCTAAGACCCCCCCTCCTTGAACGCTCAGTGCTTGTGCAAGGCGCACACGGGGAAGCCGGGGCGCGCACGCAGCCCGGGCGAGCCCTGCGCCGGCTGCTCGGTGCAGGGAAGCGATCGTGTGTGTGTGGTGGTGGTGGCTGGGGGGAGAGATGTTACCAGCGGCTTTAAAATCTTGAGAAAATAGGAAAGGAAATTATATTTAAGGCAAATGCAACTTCTCCCTCCTGGGCCTGCAAACACAGAGATCATAGGCCGTAGGAACCGGGATTATTAATGCAGGAGGGTACCCGGTAGTACCGAACACTGCCTTTTCCACCCTGGCTTCCTGGCGATGATTTCCCGTTTAGTCCCGGGGGCTGGAGCGGCCCCTTCCCCGCGCTCAGGGCTCCGGGCCGCCGGCTTCGTCCTCGGGCGCCGTTAGAGCTCGTTCATCTTCCCTTCGGCTCCGCCGCTCCGGTACCGGCGATACCTCCGCCTCAGTCCTTCCGCCACCCCTCGGGTTTCTGAAGGGGAAATGGGACCAAACAGCGACGTGGAGACCCCCGGGCAGCGTCCGGCTCCCTCCCCCGCACCGCGGGGTGCGCAACCCTCTGCCCACTCCGCGGCCACCCCCGTGGTGTCGGTGCGGCCCCAGGCTGCCCTGGGCCGCAGGTCAGGGACGCATTGGTGGCACAGACACCTGCGGGCCGCGGTCGCGCCGCGCTGGCCGGTGGCTCTTGCAGCCCTGTCGCCGCCGGGGGCCTGGCCCCGCTCTGCGCTCCGCCGCTGTAGCCGCTGGAATCTATGCGGAGGAGCAGGGACAAGCGACAAGAGCTGGGAGATGTGTCAGAGTCGAGAGGTAGCCGGGCCATACCTGGAGCTCCCCTCCCGCCTCCAGCCCTCCATCTCCGGGACCGGCTCCTCCGCTTGCTGCTGCCCAGCAAAGACGGTTTCCGGCCCCGCGAGCCCGAGCAGGGCAGGGCC